GTGCGAGCGCGGTTGTGAGTCGAGAGGCGAGCGCTGGTCCGAGTGGTAGTGGTGGCGTCAATGGGGCGTGAACTTAGGTTTCGAAGAGAGTACCTCTTGAACATTATAATCGGCTGGCATACTGTACTTCTTGACATACTTCTTGACCACTATGCAATACACATACTAATTCTTGAGCATCCGTACTTAAGCTCGTCGATTCGCAGTGCGCGCCGATGACCGGCGAGGGAAAAGGCGCCCCGAGCGCGGCCAGATGGGGAAATTGACTCGGCGCCGCGATCAACAACGGCAAAGCCAGAAGAGTCTGCGTCTTCGCCCCCGCCTTCACCACTCCTTTGTAACTTTGATGTATCTATCTGCACGGATTTTCATACTTCATACTCGAGTGACTCTGAAGACGTAAGGCAAGCATCTTGTGTTTTTCGTCCGCTCGGGGACGACGCGCGTCGCAGTGCGTACTCCAAAGCGCGCAAACCTACATCCACGCTCTTGCAGAGGAAAAGCTAAGCTCGTCAAGCTGGCGGCACTAATACAATCTAGTACGCCCACAGGTACCAGCGGCACTACTGGGAACGGCGTACTGTATACCTTTCACAACCACCTCGACACTGCTCTTCCGATTAGCGCCGAGACTCGGATCTCTGAGCCCGTGTGGACGCTCCCACGCTTAGGGGCGTTCTCGGCCGCGCAGAGCCGACCTCTCGATGCGCGGGCGTATGAACGGCGCACGACCGCGGATATCGCACCGAGAGTATGATACATATCGCGCTTGCAGAGAAGACAAGCTTACGCATACCTACGAAGGTTTCCTGTTCTGATGTCAGGGCACAGGGCCAAGTACACCTACTGAGGCGCTATGATCCCGATTGGCTTCAACTCTGCTCTCGCTCATATCCTACCAAGAGCTTCCAATCAACCAAAAAGATACCTCAAATGTACAAGAAGGTGTGACTCGGGATCTCAGAATGCCAGCAGGGCGTGCAAAGACCTTTCTCAGCGGCGCAATCCACATTGTAGACAAGTCCCTGTGCGGCGGTCGAGAGGCTGAATGAAGCAAGTCTACACCTACTGTCGGTGGCTCATAAATATCTGAGCCTACTTGCAAGGTTTGTGTTTTCTTTGAGCTTAAATCTTACTAGGCAAGGATACTGATCCAATCGGATGATTCCAGGTAATCCATTATGTGGCCGGATCTCGATTCCACAGACGAGATTGTTCTGAAGCGTCGCACGTCCTGAGTTTGACCACATCCGATGAAAGACGCCTGCGTCCTGAGAATGGTCACAGAGTGACCGTGGGGAGGTGGTTGCAGTCCCTCGACTTTCGCTCAGGCGAGTAGCGTTTGCGTCCTCCCGCGCTCTTCGTCCTCTCACCACAACCGCTCTCTCACTTGCCTTCTCACCCCTTCTCGTTGATCTCTCCACGTACTGTGTATATCTCCTTTACTTCTACATAACCTCTTCAACAAATTCTGAGCTTATTGGCTTGTAGCCTGTGGTTCGTGTTCGCTCGCCCGTCGACTTGAATGGTGTGCAAAGCTAACCGAGCTTCAGCTTTATCATGTCTGAGCAAAGCGTCGACGATGGCAAGGTGCCCTGTGTTCGCTGCGGCAAGAGACTTTCCCCGAAACACTGTAAGGTACACGAGAGGAAGCAAACGTGTGTCCCAGTTCAGTTGCAACCGACGCAGCCAGCCGCGACGACAATCCCTTCGCCTTCATCATCCTCTACATCCGCCGCCAGCGTCTCCGTCGTCGCTCCATCGTCTACGCACGTGAAACGCACAATGAACGAGTGGATGCAGTACCGCAAACTCGCATCGTCGTTGGTCAAGTCTCTGAAGCCGCCCGCCCTGAAGAGGATTCAACCGGATCTCCTGTACATGGAGTATCGGAATAGATCGAATTCTTCTACGTATTACAAGGAGTTCAATGGCCTCGTTTCCAGGATCGTCAGCGAGGCCTGGGCGACGGAGTCGGAGAGCGTCCAACGAAACTTGCGGTGCATTGCGGCAATAGATAGCATTATTTTCAAAGAGGAGAATCCTGGCTACAAGTACGAGCCGAAGAAGAAGGGCAAGGAGGGAGCGACTCAGCCGGCGGCTTCGTCTTCGTCGGCGACCGCACACTCATCGCAGCCACCACCTTTGTCGTCGCCCGAGGTGCAGGACTCCATCGCGTCAAACGTGACGGATGATAGTCAGGGATCTGAACCTGAAGAACCTGCCCAGGTATGTACACACTTACATAGCACAATGGCTAGAAATTTGACATGTTATATGCTCGCAGACTTATGGATACAATGTCGCGTACACCAGAGATTTGGCGTCTTTCGGTAGCCATCACAACGCATCCGATTACGCTGCCACTTTTTCCGAGTTACCATGCGATTTGCCTCTCCCTCCTCACATTCAACATGAGATGCTTCACAGCCCTTCCAAGGACGAAGGACCTTCGACCGCTTCTGGTACTACTTCGATGCCCTCCCTCACGTCTCCACCTGGCTTCGTCACCAACAACGCGCTCGCCCATCGTACAGCCAACTCGTTCTCTGCTCCGTCATCTCGCAACGTCGTACCTGCTCTTATTCAGCATGGACACAACGGCGTATATGATCAGACACCTCTCAATGCTAGCATAGCCGCGAACATCTCCGACGCTCCGTATCTCGACACGTTTATCCTACGTCAGGGTGGTCCAAGCCATGCCCCTACACACTTCCAGGCTTCCAGCTTCGGCATGCCCCCTCCTCCACTCCGCCCTCACCCTTCGCTATCTGCTGGGCAGATGGCTACCACTGTTGGCGCACATTACGCGCATACACCTGCGTCTTACCACGGCACTATCAACAACCAGGCTGAGCGCAACGTCAGTTATGGCGCTCCCTTGCAATATGCCGCGCCGCGTCCTGAGTATCTCAACCATGCTCATGCTTTGGCCATGAACCATACACTGCATACCGCCCCTCAGCAGCGCAACTTAGGCTACTCCGCGTACGCCTCCGCGCCGATAGCTGGATATCCGTATCACGACGGCGCATTTGCGCGCCCGCAATCCTGGTACCCATCGCTTCCTTCCAACCAATCCACGCCACCGTCGGAATCCAAGGTCTTCGAGCCTCTCTATCCGCAGGACAGCGTGCCCGCACCCGCCGCCGACTCCTTCGCACCTCAGCGTACTTCTGAGCAGTTCGTGGCACCTGCATCTCCGTCCGAAGAGCAAGTCGCCCTCCTCGAAGCTACCTCGTACGAAAACGTCATGCGCTTGAAGTCCCAGCACGTTTCCATGGAAGACGTGATACTGCCTGCGCCCGCGCCGACCTTGAACCGTCCTTCGCCTCTACAATCCACCTTCGCCTCGCCATTCTCCGCAAGTCCAACGCCGTTCGTGCAGACGCCGCCTGAACAACTCGGCAACGGGCAGCAGCAGCCGGCGGGGCCAGCGCCGTCTGCTTACGCGGGCCATGGCAAACGTGGTCGCGAGGAAGAGATTAAGCAGTCATACCCTGTTGGCCATAATAAGCGTGGGCGTTGGGATGCACCCGAATACGGCTATGGCTACAACGGAAGCTTCTACCAGCCCGGGCCAAGCAGCTTTGGTGGCCCTTTCTGAGCACAACCTCCTGCGCTCCGTGTCTTGTAGACACTTCACGGTCGTTTGTTCATCATGCGATATCTCATCACGAATCTGCGTAAACGCCTTCTTGCATTTGCGTTCTACTTCTCTGCATTCTCGTTACTCACGCTCTGCTATGCTGTCTCGTTACTATACTGCTACACGTTCTGCTCGTACCATTACCACACTCACTCCCTTCTCTCGCTTTCTCGGTCTCTTTTGGGTTTCCGTTATGTTGTTCGTCAATCCTCGTTAGCATCTACCCTCTGCATCACGCTCTGAAATACCTCACACTCCATATACTCCGCTTGCTATAGGTCTGTATACATTTACTTTCTCTTGTTGTCTTGACAGTGTCGCAAAAAATAAAATTCTAGCTCGGCCGTGCCCAGACGTTGCTCAGGCTGACGAGAGCTGGGGAGACTGTCGGCAGCGGGTGGGCAGGCCGGGGCAGACCGTCGGCAGCAGGTCGGCGGTGGGTGGGCAGCGGGTGGGCAGCGGATGGGCAGACGATCAACAGCGTGTGAATGCAGTCCACGACCGCCGCTGACCACGGACGAGGGAAAAAATGAAAAATGCAAGAAATAATGTCTGATAGATGTAAAACATGGATAGATGTATTCTAAATAAATCATTTTTTTCGGCGAAAAAATCATTCCTCTCGTAGGTGCTTGGTTAGCACGTGGCCATCGCGTGGGGACCGTCTGCCCACCCGCTGCCCACCGGCTGCTCACCCACTGCCCACCCGCTGCTGTCAAAATAACTCTCCCGACTGGTCAGGACCGCTGAGCTAGAACATTATTTTTTTGCGACATTTGTATCCCATCTCGTACTCCCCGGCTCGCCATCTCGTTATGTAGCTACAACCTGCTCTCCCAGAATCCATGAACTGTTTGCTCTGTGACATTTCTTAGGCTGGTGTGACTCACTCAAGAGGCATAGTGTCGAGTTCAGGGGTGATGCGTCCTGTACGAGGCCCACGACGCTTGTATGCGCGAACTCACGTGGGCGCGTTACGACTACTCAATATCTGCGAAAGGCCGCTGAGGTTGCATCCCCATCATGCACTAATCGACTGACACCAGCCATATCGCATAGCAACGTTAGCATATCAAACGCGCCTTCGTGTACATCGTTGTATCTTCGTGAGGGCAGGTAAGTACTGACTCGACTTCACAGCCATGCATGCTTTCTCTGGGGTCTGAAGTCTACGAGACCTATAGTGCGCATAGTAAATGCTCTGATGTGCATTAAGACTTGGAGCAGCAGTCGTACGGATGATTCGGGGACGACCAGGCAAGGCGTACGCTTACTGTGACCGAAAGATCGCAAATGGTTTGAATGGAAAGATGATCACATAGACAGTATACATTATCTCCTTCCATCGACATCGGTGGTGAAACGGTTATCATCCTTGCCTTCCATTGGAAGTTAAGCAAGGGGCCCGGGTTCGACTCCCGGCCGATGTACATTTTGTCTTTGTTATGCGTTCCACATATTTTATCCCATTCTACCTTTTTCTCACATACATCCATACAGTCTCCTGTATGGCGTACGGTCATTCTCTTGCGTGTATGTGAAGATCGAGACGATGTTGCAGGTAGAGGCAGAAGCAAGTGCAACGCGAACCGTCGGAGGAAGCCGGACGAGAACCGCGACGGCCCTCTCGCGCGCGCAACCCAAACCATCACACCCACCTTCCTCCTCTTGACACACGATGCTCGCCGCCCGCGCCTCCTCCTCTGCGCGCGCTGCCGCGACTGCCGGCCTCGGTCGCCGTGCGGCCTCCGGCATCGCGGGCAAGTACGCCCACGCTGCCTACAACGCCGCGCTGGCCAAGTCGCCGCAGACGCTCACCAAGGTCCAAGCCGAGCTGGCCGCCATCTCTTCTTCGCTTTCTTCGACCCCGGAGCTCGCGTCTTTCGTCTCGAACCCCACGCTCTCGCTTGCCGAGCGCACTGCCAACTTGCCGAAGTTGTTCGCTACGGCGGAGAAGAAGGAGCCGCTGAGCGATGTGACGAAGAACATCTTTTACGTGCTGAGCGAGAACGGACGTCTTGGCGAGTCGAACCACGTTATTGAGGGATTCAACGAGCTCGTGGCGCAGTACAAGGGCGAGCTCAATGTCACGGTCACGAGCGCTAGCCCGTTGCCGAAGGATGTGCTCACCAAGCTCGAGGCGACGCTCAAGCAGAGCCAAACGGCCCAGAAGGCAAAGAGTTTGAAGATCACCAACAAGGTGGGCTCTTATTTGTGTTTATAACGCCTCGACCAATTTCTCAATAAACGATAGGTGAACCCGTCTGTGCTCGGCGGTCTCGTTGTTGACTTCGGCGAGAAGTCGATCGACATGAGCGTTTCGTCGCGTATCAGCAAGCTCAACAACCTCCTCTCTCGTGCGTTCTTCCTCTTGTTCAACTTCTGACAAGTACTTATATCTGCTGCAGAGTCGGTTTGAGTGGTGTAGACTGGCCGGTAGTTGAACGCGTAGATGCTGAGTTATAAAATCTGACTTTAAATATCCGAAGTGCTGGCGTGATGCGTGGGCGCCAACTCCCGCCAGTCCCTTTGCAAATATGCAACTCGCACATGTTGAGTATATGGATCTCGTGACTCGTCATCCCTGTTCGTGTATCTTTATCCATGAGGAAATTCTGCGGATTTGAGGGGGGTACGAGCTTGCGAGGTCAATGCGAATGCACGATTTTGTGTGCTGCGTCCCTCACGCAGGATGCTGCTGGAGCGCGCTTGGTAGATGGCTTCACGGCATCGGACGGGTCATATACGTCGAATGGGTGCATCCATAAACCTGTCTTCAGTAACGTTCAGATATGAACGTATGTCGCTCTGCTTTCTGGCCGCTCACTCTCAACCGTGTCGTGCTTTGAAAGCTGTGTGCGCACATTGGTGAGCGCTGCGTGCTACTTGTATGTGATCTGCCTGTCATTAGCGTGTATAAGGCATACTATAGCACGAAGGACAAGGAAGGATATGTGCTATTGGCAATCGGACCGTGACTACTCATACTGTACAGGCCAGTTAGGGCTTCGCGCCCACGACGTGTCTCATAAAAGTAGTCGGCGCCTTGGGCGCGACTCGTCTATTGAAAAGGGTTACTGTAGCGCTCGTCATGTGCTTAAGCTCGTTGTCAGGCTCGTGTCTGAGATCATCGCTGGGGCCGTATACTATTTCTTTCTACGCTGCGATCACTATCAGTCTTCTCCGTTCAAACCAATAGGTATAAGCGTTGGTCTCTTGCGTCCTTCTACCGTCATTTCACTCACACGGTTGAGTACGATTTTCCGGCTCCGACATCCCGTCACTCTGATGGCAGTGATTAGTGCTCAACTAAATTCCTTGTGGCGATTGTCACAGTCTACATACAACATGCTATTCATCCCACGAGTACAATCCCGGCCTGCTTCAATTGTGACCTGTATAGCAAAGTGGCCAGTGGTTTCCCTGGGGCAGGTTGGTCCAAGCTTGATCCGATCGACCACCGTATATAACAGAGCTGCAGTGCGGATGGGTCAGCATCTTGCGATACTCTGAGTCCTTGGGTATCCAAAGTAGTAGTTCGCCGTTCCAACAGCGGAGCCACCCGTCATCATCCAACCGAAGGCTACCCCATATATCCTCTACACATGCGCTGTGGGTCTGGTTGGTATTCCACAGCTGAACTGCTCCGTACTCGGTCACGCAAAGGATGTTTTGGCCGTGCTGGTCTGGCGAGAAGGTGACAGCTCGGACTGGTTGAAGAACATCGATCTGGCGAATAGGCTGCTCCTCTATCCCGTATATCGTTGTCTGCCAGATATGGATTATTCCACCTGCAGAACCAGATACAAGTCTAGTAGCATCGGGTGAGAACGCAACTGAGCTTATGGTAGCTGCATGTGTCTCGAGGCGCGTGAGGATTTCCCCGTCGGAGACGCGCCAAAGACATATCGTGCCGTCTCCTGACCCGGACGCAGCTGTTCCAGAGTAAGGACGAAAGTCGATAGCGCTCACGTAGCTCTTATGAACTTTGTGAGGTACTGGGTGGACGAGTGTGCCCGACATGACATTCCATAGAAACACTTCTCCGCTTGAGTGTCCCGACGCCAGGATCGATCCATTGGGCGAGAATGTTACGACATGGATTACTTCCTTGGCTCCCGACTTGCCGGGTATGTCGCATTTCCACGCAAGATAAGAGGTTCCGGCGTCCCAGAGACAGACCTTGTTGCGATCTAAGACTCCGGCAATCTTGTCGTCTTGTTCGGAATATGCGATACAACTGAAGTCGCCACGTTCACTTGATCCAATAACACTGAGTCTATTACTATAAGTTTCGATCTCATCCAGTTGAAGGAACACCGCGCGATCACCGTCAGATGCACATGCGGCACGTGTGCCCTCCTTTGAAATGGCTATAATTGCGCCAAATCCGGATGCTTCAACAACTCCGAGTCGACTTGGACGCGGCCTCTGCAGATCAAGCTTCGAGTAGTAGTGGAACTCGAGACTATTCCCGACCACAATGCATGTGCCGTCTTGAGTGTATGCAGCACATGTCGGTAGTTGCCCAAAGGCGGACGGAATATCTGAAATAAAAGCCGGTATCCCCAGGAATGACGAGGAACACTTTTGCCTAATGATGGACTCTTTGTCGCAAAGATAGAAGGCCGACAAGTAAACATGAGGCGCACTCTTCACAAAAGCAGGAGAGAATCGATATATGAAATCAATGAGTGCTGCTAGCAATTGTGGCCACTCATGGCTTGGAGTTGAAGGAACGTAGCGCAAATCCTCGAGCATATCCAGTGCCTTCTCTGCAAGTCCTATTGCACTCAATGCCTCAAGCCAGAACAGGAACTTTGGCCCTGCAAGTATGCGGCAGAGCACAGAAGTAGGGTCGAATCGGAGAGTACCGGATGCTGCCGCGACGTGATGTGACCAATAGAGGCATGCGTAACGCAATGCACTATCGATGTTCGCAAGCTTCTGCTTCTCATTAGGATAGTACGACGAGGTTGCCTGCGATACATTGAAATGCAGTCTGTCTGATTCAAGGGTTTCGAGACATGCTGTAGCGAGCCGTGAGTGACTGTTGGATATATGTTCGTGCATGCCATCTGGTGTGCGAGTAGGAGTATTCAAAAAGTCGCCGAAGGACGCGTGAAAAGTGGACAAGACACCGCTGGTATCGCGTATAGGCACGTAGATAACCGCATACAGACGGTTCAGTGACGCTCTTAACCGAATTGCAGGTAACCCGAGCAATGACCCGAGAGATTCTACGGTCATGGGCTCGCGGACGGTCACAATCGTAGCAATAGTTTGACGGGTTAGATTGATCTCGTCGGGCTCATACTCGTCTGGATCCATAGCCTCAGATAGAATGAGAGAGTAGATGGCGTCCAGGGGTTGAGTCAGCGGTCGACCAGCAGTGACGACTGTTCCCGTGAGTTTGGGCAGTCGGCCCATAGGGTCCTTGCGCAGATACTGTAAAGCTGTGAACGCATAGATAAATAGCTTCCCAGAGAGACGCGTCAGGGTGGCTATATCCGCTTTGTGAGGCCATTTGGGCGGAAAATTTGGTTCGCGCATAGAACGAAGACCACGAGCGAGATAAAGCGAAATGTCGGCTTTCACAATATCTTGCTCTATGTCATGAAGGCGCAGAATCTGACTGAGGGATGGATCTAAAGCCTCGAGCTGCTGACGAATGTGCGGCTCTGGCCGTGATGTCAAGAAGAACTTTACAGGCAATGCAGCGGATATTCTGACGAGCCTAGAAAGTAGATCGCGCGTAACATCCTCGTCCGAGCACTCATCGAGGGCATCAATGACGAGGACCAGCATGGGGGAGCCTTCGTCAAAGGTAGACAAGGGTTTTTGCAGAAGTCGTTCAATCTGGAGCGCAAGATTCCAGTGAGGGGAGGAGGATTCTTCCTTCAGCTCAGCAAGCACGCTCTTGTTAAAGGTCAAGCTGCGGGAAGCCATGGAGGCAGCGAGCGTAGGGATAATGCGCTGAGCGTCGCCTTCTTCGACAGATCCACCGCGGGAACAGAAGAAGCTGCCGCCGAGCAGCTTATCACGACGCATCACATGGCAAAAAGAGCGCGCGATAGCGGATTTTCCGGTACCAGCCATGCCATTCAACCAGTATATGCGAGGCGCATTGCGGTCATGGCTCCAAGACCGTAGATCTCGTAAGACTGTGATGCGTGTGCCCTTCATGCAACCTTCAGGACTCTGGGCATCGATGTCAGCGCGACTGACTCGCTCAAGTTTCTCATAAAGCCCTGTGAGCATTAGGTCAGAAGAAGTAATACATGGGCAACGAAGTGAACTTACTGGATGCATCAATACTTTCTCGATGTTCTCGCTGTCAAACGACATGAGGGCAAATAATTGTAGCAGCAACAGCCGACTGACCTCTATGCGCAAAAACGCCATCACGTCCTCTGCGAAAGACACATGA